ATAAACGTATTGAAAAATGTTCACAAATAACCGCAAAGCTATATTACTTTCCCCATACTCCTACACTTTGGAATGCAAAAATTACTGAAATAAGAGAACCGGAGGCTTTTTTTCTTAATTTTAGGTGATTTTATATCTTCTTTAACTCTTATTTCAAATTTGACGACAATAATGTGAACAAATCAAAATAGGTAAAAAAAATCACAAAATACACACAACCATATATTTATCGCCAACAAGCCAAATGATAAATAGCTCTATGATGAAGTTGACTAAATAAAACCTTTAAAATACCCAAGATGTTGCAATTACTATCCTATCAATATGAGGATTTAAACAAATCGAAAGGACTTTATACCTACTTCTTTATTTTGAATGTATTGCAAAGTAATAGTCCTTACTTATCATAATTATATTTGTAGTTGAGGAAAGTAGATAAGGTAAACACAGCATTTCAGATAGATAAAAGCGTAAATAATTACATTAAATATATTTACATGCCTATCTTCCTTGAAGTATCATGGTTAGACTTTTCTTCCAGTAATTTTGTCTATAAAGGCATAGTTCTATGAGATTAAACCAGACTTCCATATATATACAAAATTTACAATATTTTCACTATAGCTACTACTATTTCTGATCTCCAATGCATTAGATAATGTCACCATGACACGCTAATGAATAAATATGTTATGGAAATATTTCGTTCTAGTTAATTGATAATAATAAACATGTATAATTTGCGTTTTTTATACGCGCTTTGTTTGAAGGAATATTTTCATTTCAAGGAACTTTGTTACACATCAACAAACATTGAGAAATCAGCACGATCAACTTTCATCAAATAAAACTAAAAGACAAAAAATATAAGTTATAACAAAGTCAACATCATGATCGGTACAGTATCAAAAATATATCATTCAAAAATCATGAGCACCAATAGCCTACGATGCGCAAACTATTTATCTTCAAAAACTTGAAAAAGTGTCATGGCGGTGGATGTGAAAATCTTGAAAAAGTGTCATATCGGCGGGTGTGCGCGTAGGACGAACAGTCCAATTTTGTGACGTCTAATGAGATAAAGTGATGTTATATATTAAGATGATCTTGCCACAACGACAATGATTAAAGCAAAATTGATGTTCTGTTTGTAAGTTATTTTTATAAGTGTTGTTAGTTGATAATTCAAACCAAGCCCCCAGACTAGCTTTTCATCACGGCGCCAACTCGCACGTACAGTGTTCTGTACGCTTACGTCATGTCGAGAATTCCGTAAAATATATTGTTCAAAATTTATCAGTAGTTCAACCACACTGTGCTTCTTTTTTTAAATATATAGTTATCGTGTTGTTATTAAAAAAATAAGCTAATTTTGGATGCTTTTGAAATAGTGATTTGAAAAATCGCGGCATTATTTACGCAGAAAATTGCCGCTAGAGGACTCTAACTCTTTTCGATATTTCAGCCAATGAGAAGGCCAGGATCGGTAAATTTTGTAAAGGCCGTCGCAATAGGCTATGCGTACTGAGTACGTTTAGCCTAAAAAGCAAACAGACAACAAAGCAATTAGCCGTGACTTGTACGTCATCACGTCCGTACATCTTTTTTTCTGAAAATCAAATCTTATAGTTTTTATATCTATTATTATATTATATGGACGTCTCACCCTCCCTCTTTAAAGTTCCAAAACGTATCTGAAAGCATTCTGAACCCAGAAAACACGACTTCAAGAATGAATGTCTCTAAAAGGAAAATTAAAATAAGTACTTCAGACCTAAGAGGGCTAAATGGAAATGATCGACAGTTCGCAGTAAGTCATATCCAAATTTTTCAACAGTGTATTTACAACGGAACTCCTAGGGGCGCTGCCAGAGTTTAAGAATAGAATACCAACCTATCTATTTAAAGATATTGTCTTTAATAAGGACATTGTGGAAAAATAATCCAGAATTTAAATGAAAACTAACATCCAAAAATCTTAAAAGAAATCAGAAATAATATAAGTTCGCCATTACCAGATATTTTTAAAAAATCATTATCTGAGGAAAACTACCCCAAGCTTGGAAAGAGGCTAACATATCACCAATTTACAAAAAGGGATCTAAAGCCGACCCAGGAAATTATAGACCTGTTAGCCTGACAAGCGTTGTAGGCAAGCTACTAGAAAAAATAGAGAGATATAGCATTGTTGAGCATATGGATAAAAAAAGATAAACTCAGTTACAAGTATTAACAGTGCTTGAAGAATGGACAGATATATAGACAAGAGCGGAGAGCTGGATATCATATACATGGATTTTATGAAGACCCTTGAAAAAGTGCCACATCAGCCTCTATTAAAGAAACTCTCCGGATATGGTGTTAGTCATCAGATATTAAACTGGATGCAGGATTTTCTAAGAAACCGATGCCAGCGAGTAATAGTCAATGGCGAATCCTCTAACAGTCACCCAGTAATAAGTGGTATTCCCCAGGGAAGCGTATTGGGCCCAATACTATTTGTTGTATATATTCATGATCTACCGGAGATACCAATGTCCCAATCGCCACTCTTTGCTGATGATACCAAATTATATAGACAAATAGAAAATATCGAGGATGTGGAAATACTTCAAAAAGACCTAAATAAACTCCAAAAATGGTCCAACAAATGGCTGCTGAAATTTCATCCTAATAATTGTAAAGTTCTTTCGCTTAAAGCAACTCAGGAATGAAAATACTATATGGGAGAATCCGTGGAGAAAGAATCCATCTTGAAAATGTTGAGAACGAAAAGGACATTGGCATCACAATAGATGAGGATTTAAACTTTAAAACTCACATACAGCAAGTTGTAAACAAGGCAAACAGTATAGTAGGACTTATAAGAAGATCTTTTGTGTTTCTCGATGAAGACATGATCACCTTGCTGTTCAAATCTCTAGTTAGACCACATCTGGAGTATGCTGCGAGTGTTTGGAACCCATCAAAAGTAAGAGATATTGAACTTATCGAAAATGTTCAGAGGAGGGCTTCCAAATTACTCCATGGATTTAGAAATCTGACTGATCAGGAGAGGCTGGAAAGGTTAAAACTTCCAACGCTACAACACCGAAGGACTAAAGGAGATGTAATAAACGTATTCAAGATAATAAATGATAAATATTATTATAGAGTGACAAGAAACTTCTTCCAAATGGACAAAAATTGTATTACCAGAGGTCATGATAAGAAAATCTTCAAAAAACGAAGCATTTTTTCAGTCAGCGAGTAATTGACTTTTGGAATAGTTTACCACAAACTGTTGTCAGTGCTAAATCTGTAATTAAATTTGAAATTATGTTAGATGAACATTGGAAAAATAACTGTTTCACATGCGATCATTAACGTGTATGTACTTTGTAGCCGTTAAACTGGAAGTGGAATTTGTATTTATTTCGCTTTGTAATGTACATGATATGGACATAGAGGCTGCATCTATTATTTATGCTATTAAAAATGCTATTAAATGGCTGCATCGTACACTTCTCGTTGAAATGATTGTACATGTAAGTTTCAACGTCAACATAGTATATACATTGTACACTTCTTCAATAATGTTTTCATGATTCGTCATTATTGTTTTATTACTGTAAGTGAATCGATCAGTATATATTCACAGCAATGGTTACAAATGTCAGTCGTAAACTGTACATATGCCTTTGAAAATACATTACACACACACCCACACACACTCACACACACACAAGAATACGAACGGAATATGTGGATGTAGGTAAATAAATTAAGACAAAAAGAAAAAAAAAATAAATTAAAATAAACTTCATTGATTGTTGATATTCACATACTGTGAACTATGTTTTGGTTATAACTGTTAGTATTCATTTTCTGAATTAATATAAAATCTGAGCTTTATTTCGAAGTTCTCAAATGTACATTGATCAGAAAACTATAAGATTATTTACTATATATAAACAGCAGTCCGTCTTAATGACTCGTTGATTCACGTACATTGATGCCATCTTTACATGTACAACGATCGATGGGACTTGAGAAAATTCTAGCAAACAGAAATTATTCACGCAAAAATGACTAATTTTTAATATTGGAAAGTTAATATACTTGATAGACAGAGACATACATTAGGAGATTTGTACATAATGCTTTTATTTTCACATTTAAGTTGTCAAAATAATCGTTAGAAATAATTGTTAAAAATTTTATTATGAAGGGATACGTGTGTAAGCTTCAAATAAAAATGACACAACTAATTTTCATCTAAAAATTAAAAAAAGATCAATTTGTAACGAAGAAATGTTAAATTTATTGATCAGAGGCATACATTTTGTAACAATATATCTAAACCCTCTTTTTTTGCATAAATTTTGGAAAAGCTGCATTAAGACTTGAGGGTATGTTCTATTTTTCTTCATCAAACGTTTGTGTAAATTTTGACGAATACATTTTTATCGTTTTTTAAATTTTGATGATGATGTTGTAATTTAATTATTCTGATAAATAATCAAATTTTGTAGCTTGTTCCAGCCGGCTTAATCACTAATCCACTTCTAATTGTTTTTTGATTAAATTAATCTAGCCCAGTGTCCTTTTGCAGGTTGTCCCTTTTTTGTTGAGCTTGATTAGTCCCTGGAAAGACATCTAGAGATCTAGGTATGAATTATTTTCAATTGTTATCATCTGTAATTATTCATAGTGTTAAAGTGGTTGTTATGTTTTACCTTAATACAGAAAGTCTGGATGACGACCGTGAATTGAGCAGTGACAACCTGGATAGAAAGGAGGCAGTTTGGAGAGACAGACATCCAAGGGTCTGGAGGCTTAGCAGGCCAAAAGACATCTTCCGCGAGGAGGAACCTTATTTATTCGCTATAGACAGATACGTATTTTAGATACCCCCGAGGTCGGGCGAGAGCGGGGGAGGATGAGCGACCTTATCATGAGGATTCAAGGGATACAACATCGGACCGACCAAGGACATTGAGCTTGAACACCGGAAGCACATGCAGTTGTTGAAGAACTCTGAAGAACGAGGGGGATTGAAGATCAACATGACCAAAATGGCATGTGCACCGATTCTGCGGCTGACACAACGGACATGGCAACCTGATGAGACGGAGGAGGAGGTAGTCCAGGACTCAAACCAAAGCGACTACAGCGTCCATGAGCCAGACAATGACAGGGACACACCCAGTGAGGTCTTAGAGGAAGAACATGGTCAACAAGCACCAGTCACAGATCAACCTAGACAGGGACCTGATCATAGCGGCAGGAAAGGAAAGATCAAGTGGCCACCAAGTAACAGCAAGGCAGAATGGAAGAAGTTTGACGAAGACGTGGATGCCATTCTGGCTGCATCATCAGCAGGTGGGGTAGATAGGAAAATAGAGGGAATGTCAGCTATCATATACAATGTAGGACTCGATAGGCTTGGATTGGAAGAACAGAAACAGCAGGGAAGATCAATCAATAAGAGCAGGAGACAACAAGAGATGGCCAAGCTGAGGAAATATCTGAGACAATTGGCAAGGCAATACAGGTTAGCATCAGGAACGTTAACAGCAGGAAAGGAAGAGGTGGAGGATCACTTGAGGGACATGCATAGCGACCCAATAAGAAACGAGAATCTGCCTGACTATGAGAAGCTAATCCGCCCTGAAGAACCAGAGCAACCATTCGATGAGTCTGAACCGAAACTCAAGGAAGTGAGGGAAGTCATCAGGAAGGCCAGGGCAGGATCATCTCCAGGCCCAAATGGAGTGCCCTATAAAGTTTATAAGAACTGTAGCAGACTGACAGTTAGACTCTGGATGTACTTGAGAATTGTATGGAGAAGAGGACGTTTAACTGATAGCTGGCACCAAGCGAAAGGATGCTTCATACCAAAAGAAGAGAACTCTGAGTTACTCAACCAGTTTCGGACAATCTCCCTACTAAACATCGAGGGGGAGATTTTCATTGCAATAGTGGCAAAGAGGATGACCACCTACATGCTGACCAATAGGCATATAGAAATATCGGTGCAGAAAGGAGGAGTCCCATGCGTGTCGGGATGTGTCGAACACACAAGTGTCCTATCACAGATTATTCGGGAAGCAAAGGAACAGAAGGGAGGGCTGGCAGTGATCTGGTTGGATTTAGCCAATGCATATGGGTCTATGCCTTATAAGGTGGTCCAGCTGACCCTCGAGCGTTACCATGTTCCCGAGAAGAACAGACATCTGTTGGAAGATTACATTGACAGACTTCAGTTAAAGTTCACCCTACGAGATTTGACAACATCGTGGCAGCGCTTGGAGGTGGGGATAGTTACAGGTTGCACTGTGTTAGTAATCCTGTTCTCAGCAGCTATGAACCTAATGGTGAAGTCACTCGGGAAGATGAGTAGATGGCCATGGATGAAAGGAGGTGTGCGGCAACCGCCGTTGAGAGCATTCATGGACGACATGACCATCAGTACCAAGACAGTGGTGGAGGCAAAATGGACTCTCGAGGAAATAAAGGATATCATCAGCTGCGCTCGGATGAGAATCAAGCCAGTAAAGTCCAGGAGCTTGGTACTAAGGAAAGGGAAAGTATGCAGAGAGGTATTCAAGATTGGAGAGGACATCATTCCAACAGTCTCCGAGAAGCCAGTCAAATGCCTGGGGAAGTATTTTGATGATACTTTGAACAGCTGGAGAAGAGGCGAGTGTCAGTAGACAGATGTGGTCTGCCAGGAAGATACAAGGCCTGGATCTATCAGCATGGAATTCTACCTCGTGTACTATGGCCTTTATTGGTTTACGACGTACCATTGACAAAAGTGGAAGCGATGGAGCGCAAGGCAAGCAGTTGTCTCAGGAGATGGCTATCAGTCCCTCGAAGCTTCAGCAGTGTGGGATTATACAGCTGAGGAACAAGGCTCCAGTTGCCGCTGACGTCAATAACAGAGGAATTTAAGGTCACCAAGGTTAGACAATTCCTCATGCTTAGAGACAGCAAACATGAGAAGGTAAAGAGCAGCGGAGGTCAACAACAGAGCAAGGAAGAAGTGGTCGGCATCACAGGCAGTGAAAGATGCAGAGTCGCGTCTTAGACACGCAGACATTGTTGGCAGTGTAGCTGTGGGAAGAACAGGGTTAGGAGCAACACCAACAGCTAGATGGGGACCAGCCTCAACTGTAGACCGACGACACATGGTCCAGAGGGAAGTACGAGCCATGGAAAAGCAGTTTCGTATGGTCAAGGCGGTTGGCATGAAGAAACAAGGAAGTTGGATGAACTGGGAGGGAGCCCGCCAGAGGAAGCTGACATGGAAAGACATTTGGTATACTGAACCACAGAGGCTACAATTTAACCTCAAGTCAGTATACGATGTCTTGCCGAGCCCAAAAAACCTGGCAACGTGGGGGCTGTCAGACGATCCAAGCTGCAAGCTTTGCGGGCGACCAGCTAACTTGAAGCACATCCTTTCTTTTTGCTCAGTCGCCTTGACAGATGGACGATACGCCTTGCGTCACGACAAGGTTTTATCCTTCATTGCAGATGCCTTGGAAAAGTGCAGGAGGAAACAAAAAAGGGGCAAGGGACAGCTGAAATGTGTAAACTTTGTCCGGGCAGGAGAGCCTACCACAGGAGGGACCGTTGAAAGGACTTGGCTACGAGGAACAGCAGGGGATTGGCAGCTGAAAGCAGATCTGAATGGTTGTATGCAGTTTCCACCAGAGGTAGCAGTTACACATCAAAGGCCAGACATCGTCATCTGGTCCAATAAATATGCTGTCCTGGTGGAACTTCTGTGCCATGGGCAGAAAGAATGATGGAAGCCTATGAGCGCAAGAAGAGTAAGTATCAGGGTCTAGTGGAGGACTGCCAACACAGAGGATGGAAAGTATGGTGCTTTCCAGTGGAGGTTGGTTGCAGAGGATTTGTGGGTCAGTCGATGTGGAGAGCTATGCAGGTCAAAGGCATCATTGGTGCAGACAGGCGGCAGCTCATAAGCTGTCTCTGTAAATGGCTTCACTGTGGCTATGGATCAAACATCAGTGACACATAACATCGTAGGAGGTGGCATATGAACATTTAACAACACCAAGTAAAACGCCACCTGTGTCACTAGCGGATAACGGAGTGGTTCCGGGCTGGGACCTGATCACCCCAGTCGGCGCACATATGGAGGTTGTCGTGGACAGCGCTGAAACAACCGAGGAAGGAGGATCCACCTGAAGGGACCACGACGCATCTGCACCATCAAGATGTTTTTAGGTAAATGTCGTCTGAAAAAATTTTAATGTGACTTTCTAGATCATCAATATATATACATATTGAAGGTATGATGAATAGTAAATGGACTTGTAACGAACCATGTAGTCAAAGCAGAAGATTTGCTATATTAAAAAATCGTTGTTGTCAATAAAATAATCATTTAGACATTTTGAAGGATCTCCCTCTCTTGTTTGTACAATTTCTATCGTGACGAGGTACTTCTATTTAACAGCCAGTGGAAAGTTTGACTCGAGAAATTTTTTACTTGTTTCTGATAAAAAAAATTTCATAAATAAACAGTTACGCCTTCTAAAGTGCATTTCATACCACCAACAACTATCGAATAAATTGATCATTAAGTGTTAATAAAAACAACAACAACAAATCAGTGTGCTGGAGTGAAATGCTCCCGTTTCGTGCAATTATATTTTATGAATGACTCGATATTTAACCATCTCCTGTCATTAGTTTGTGATAGATCAAACTCATTTTAATTTCAATTGTATTTTCTATCGGGAATCATCCGAATTCTGTATATATCACATAATTAGGCGGAGATTCAGTTGTAAACTTTTTATCATCGATTTTCAGTGTATCGTTTCCAAAATGGTCATATTTTTGAATCACCAGATAACTGATGTGTATACAAGGATACGCGCTATTACTGCATCAAAAAAAATAAACTGTAGGTCTAACGATAAATCTATCACTTTTCTGAACCATGCAAGAAATTATTTGTATCAAAGACACGCCAAACTCTTCTACATCAACTGCTTATCTCGATCTTTTCTTACAACGCAACAAGACAGCTCTCCAACAAGCTGTATGTTAAGCGTGATGATTTTCCCTATTGTTCATTTCCATTTGTGTATAGCGACAATACCTGCAGCTGATTCGATATTCTAGGGGCCCGTTTCCATCATCACGAGTTTCAAACAAGAAGTTAACTGACAGACAAACCCGTAATACGGGGTTTCAAAAGTTGCAAGTTGATAAAAATTATGAGGTAGGTTTACGGGTCGCCATAGTGGTCTCATTGAGAAATGTTCTATTTCTTTGTACGATAACAAGCTGGACGTATTTGATGTTGGTTAATTCGACTGTCGGTTCCGTTGTTGTATAACTTATATGAGAACGAAACACTACTTATTTAAATACGGGCGTGGTCTAATTCTCCTTGTACTTTTTTCAGGAGTCTCCGTGTAAATCTTTCTGTTGATCATATCTTGCCATAGCTTTATTGAATTTGAGTTTGGTTCATGATTATGGTGACATGTTGGTATTTTCTTATTGTTTTTTTACCCAGTCATGATCAGATATGAAGTTAGAGCGTAACTGATTATATCTGATTGCCATCGTTTCAATTATACCTGAAATAGGAGGTATCTCTAGGGAAACTTTATTATATTTTATCATGAATTTTAAAAGCCAGTGTGGACATTAGGCCATCACTAGCCATGTGTGAATTCTTTTCGAGAAGTGTCCTTGTTTTTATTGTTGAACGCTAGGTTTGACTATAACGTACATTTCTGATAGCACAACACCGTGATTAGCACGCTGTTCGTCTATAGATACTTCCTTTATTGGTTGGTGATCATATGGCAGACAATCCTTCAGAAACACAACCGATTATTTCAATCGGTTATTTCGTGACGTGCACGTGATACATGGTATTTATTTAAGTTAAAGTGATAATGAGATCCTATCATGATAGGACTGCCTGTTTGAAACTTTAAAGCCATGCCCACACAAAATATCAAGAATATATATTTATTTCTTAAGTTATAAAAGATAAAATCGATAGCCTTATTCATACAAAAAATGCCTAGTGAAATATTTGGTAGTATAAATATCGTAATGAAATCGTTTAAGAAATCCTGTTACTAAGATGTGGATATTCGAGCTGTTCATAGACGTCGGCGCATTTAGTATTAACCCACCTAGCTACATGCCAAGAAATAGTTGTCCGCCATTTTTAGCCATTTGTATAAAGTTGTCCCGTAAACAACTTGCTTTGGGGAGGAATTTATCATGGAGTGAATGTGGTGGAAGTCGTTCATTCCAGCCGAAAATTGGACAAAATTATACAGCTTGGATATTTCCATAGGTTTGTTGATTTATCTCCGTAAAATGTGTAGTAGATTCTGTTGGGATATGTTTGTTGCATCTGCATAATATCCGTACAGTTTTGTCTAATTTTTTTACAAAGTGATCTTATGTCATCAAATTCAGAACGTCCACTTTCTCTCAGTCTTGAATTATATAATAGCTCTCGGATATGTAAATAGATGCATTATTTTTAAATTTGGCAACATATGAAGAAGTCTTCCAGCAAGACCTACAGTTAAACGAATCACCTTGCTGATTCTGGAGGAGGCAGTTTGGCATGGTTTTAGTATTTGTGACCAACACAATGGTTCTTAGTATTCCGTGACATTTCAGGAGTATCGTGACGTTCATTTGCAGTAATTGCCAGCGTGAAATTTCTGTCTGATAAGCATTATCGTTACATGCATAGATTTCCTGGAGGGTATTGATAGCTCTAATGTCATTTCCATTGGAAAACCTGTTAATTAAACAAAGAGAAAATGAAGTTTAACATAACGATGCAATGGCTATATCTTTGTTCGCTATTAATGATCGAATATTTTTTTATTTGTTTTGTTTTGTTTTTTAATCAAACCAACAAACACATAAGTGTAAGCCTTATAAGCTTCGTCGTGTTCAGATGTATACGTATGACAGAGTTGATCTTCCTTTTGTGTGTTACTGTAATCTGACCCCATATCTCTGATCAACGACTATGTATTCCCGATGTTCAGATGACCCTAGTTCATATTGCAACGTTTTTACATTCCGTCATTGAATATGATTTAAACAAAACGTACTTTTATGCATGTACATTAAATCGGTATCAGATCACACTTGTAATAACTTTCGATAATAATGACACTGACAAGGATTGTATTCTCGAACGCTTGTCACAGTGCTAATACTGAGCGATTATCAACTTCATAAACTCTCTAATAAATGAGACCTCAGTGGAATCGCACTATTTAGACCACCCTGGGTATTGAAAAAATGGTCTTCATAACCAGTTTAACATCTAAATACGATGTGTAGCTAGTTGATCGGATAATCCTGAGTTTTTATGACTAGGCAATGGGGTGAAACCCAGTGCAAAATAGGTTTAAGGGACATTTTATTTTTTTTATTTTTTTTAAATTCCAAGGTAGTGTTAACTGTGGTTGGCGTTAAAAGTGAAGCTTACTATAAAACATAGATATCTCAAGAACCTTCTGGGAATGGAATGTAGTGATCTTAAACAATGGCGTTAATAGTGAAAAGTACTATACAACATATTTATATAAAGATCGTTTTGGCAACGAAATGGAGTGGTCTGACATAATGGCGAGGTGGTCGTCATTTTGAGGTGATCCTTCAGCGAGGTTTC